AATAAAATAGGAAAACTCGAAGAATGAATGAAAAATATCGCTTGTATTTGATAAAACTAGTGAGCTAGTACCAAGAGTACGATATTCATATCACTTCCATCAAATACATAAGGGCCAGTATTTTTCATTAATTTTTCTCGAAAGGTGCAATTGATCGTTTTCAACCATTCCCATGATCTTCAAAAGATCTTTTATCTTTTGGCGGCCATGAGAAATCCTTTGTTGAATTTCCTCCAACATGGCCGCTGTGACGTAACTTGAAAACGAAGAATTAGTTTCTCCCTCTCAAAGTCTTCGCCATTTTATTCGACAACCTTTTTTGCAATAGGTATATTCCTCCTAGAAATGGATGAGCGGTCCTTTAGCTTGGTGAGGAGTGGAAGGGGAGCTACGGATCTTCACTTGTTCTTGCAATAAACAATTCAATATCATGAAACACCTACACGGATTTTCGTCATTGAACTGAAAACGTCGGTCGTACATCCGCACTATTTTTTACCATCTTGCAGTAAGACAATGACTATCTAATTAGTTTTCAGATATGCAGGATARCGGTGAAACAATGCAGTCTTTTACCTCGAAGAGGTTTGATTTTTGAAGTGAACCATACACAACAAAGTAAAGGATGTAAGTAAAGCATATATATTTTTAAACGCGAAATTAGTTTATCAGTTAGCATTATTGAGGAGGACTCGCTATATACAGCCTTTTGCACAAATTATGAGACATTTTTATATATATAAATATACCTAACCAAATATCAAAAACACCCCAGAAATTATGGGATACCGTCGCTGATATTTTGTCTGTAACAACCTGATGCTAGGCAATCATGACAAAATATAATAGAGATATACCATAATTTCTGGGGTGTTTTTGATATTTGGTTAGGTATATTTATATATATAAAAATGTCTCATAATTTGTGCAAAAGGCTGTATGCTATACAATTATACAATTATAATATATACGCTATACAATTCTAAAACATAAATAGTTTGAGAAAAGGCTGCATAATCAGTTAGATTGATTCCAAAGTGTGTACAATGATTACGCAATAAGTACAGATTAAATATGCCTCTTTCACAATCAGTATTTTCATATATTTTTTTCCTTTTCCTTTCATGCCCCATGCATGTCTATTTTTCCTTTTTAAGCTGTTTATTTTATTTTTTCAGTCATCTCAATTTGAAATAAAGCTGATTGAATACTTTAAGTCTCGTGGATAAACCTGATAATTTTGACGATGAGACGGCGCCAAACGTGGCCGGTAAATAAGARGACCCAAGAAACTTTGTTTTCAAGATAACTTTGTTTTCTTTACCACACACACACAAAAATATTCTACAGCTAGATAACAATCCCGGAAAAAGAACTGCGACCGTGGTGTATATACTTTCATTTACCACGTCTCTCGACCTATCAGAAATCGAGAAAATTCAATTGTAGTAAATTCAATCTTTCTGGAAGATTCAATACACCGCGTTCTCATGGTTAACCAGGTGGCAGATCTTTTTCCATATTTATGAACGTCACTATCGAGATTGAAAAGCCCGGCGGGTTAGCGGGAACGAATATGAACAACACTGAATGAGCATAAGATTTGCGATTGACTGGAAATACATGGCATTTAAATGTTGATACAGATCCTTTCTTGTGATGTTCCGGGCACCTCAGTGAACAGTCCGTTTATGAATTTAACCTAAAATATCTTTAATYCTTAAAAATTTAATGATTTTTTGAATTAATAAAATCACAATCCACAACTTATTATCATTGTGCAAGTCATATATTTGAATTACGCAGCGTTTTGAACTTAGTGATTMTTAGTGAAAGAACGAAGCACGTCACCATGGTTACCACTACCTCGCGTGCGCCAAGGACCCAACTCCCACCAAAAAGGCACCAACTTTGTTGATGAGTTAAATTTCTTTTAGGCGATCGACAAATTCCAAAGTGTAGTACATGGTCAAACAATGATTATGCAATAAGTACAGATTCTTTAATCAAAAAACCTTTTTCTTGGGGGGAATTAAAATTGTTTGCTTTGTTTTCAAGATAAAAAAGGAAACAACTTAATAATAGGTCAATAACAGTTAATTCTTTTTTATCAAAAGGAATCATTTTATTTGTATCAGTAGCAAATCAACAACATTTTGTCAATAATCATGTATACGGCTTTCAAAAATTTGCATTGGCATGAGCGAAAATCAATCAAATCTAATTTGCTTAATCAATTTCACAACTTAAAATACCTAGCTTTTACCTGTGTAATTAATCAATTTATTTATATTTATATTACTGATTAATTGTATGAGGAAGTAGCTGATCCCATTAAAGAGTGCTCAATACACATAAAGTGTAGAGCTAGTTATATATATGATATCAAAGAGGCACGATTTTGCTGTAACTACTGAGTTACAGCAAAATCTTACCTCTCTGATATCATATATATATTACTGATTAACTAATTAATCTATTGATTGACTCATTATAATTATTTCTATTTTTTTATGGAAGTCATATGACAGATCCTTCTCCATTCTATCTATCTTACTCAAGCATTAGTGTGCTAAGCACATCCATGGATTCGTTCTTTTTCACAGTTTTACTGCTAGGATCATACCATCAGCGAGCGGTAGCATTGCCATATCAACTCGRCTATCTTTGTGAATCTTTTGGTTCAATGTATGGATCGCTAATGTTTCAGCATCCATGTCTGCAGGATCTTGAAGAACCTTACCACTCCAAATTACCTGAAATTGTAACAAAACACCAGTAATATCATATTTTTGTCAATAGACATCCTTCCGCTCACTTCCCCCCTTGCATCACCACAACACAAGGTTATAGTCAACATTCAAATTAGATCGTGCACATGAGCGCTTCATGTCTGGACGAGGATTTGGTTAGGTATGACATGTTTAACCAATGCAATGTATTAAATACGATTGCGTTGTGCAACGTTTTCAAACAATACTTAGAAAATAATGAAACTTTTTTAGCATATTGCACCTTTTAGGCGTTTTTTGTCCACAAAAATAGGCCTTCTCTGATTGCGCTTCTGTCGTCCCCTGTGTATGTTATATATATATANCGCATTGTTGCTTAAATTACCAATTATATTTAACTGAGGTTAGGAGGCTGTACGAGCTATGCCTAGCTACCCTCGTTGCAATTAGTTTTAAGTAGATCTGTAGTTATTTCATATATGTAACTAAAACTACGCCAAACATATCCCCGTTCTTGTGAGGAAATCACATTTTTACATTTTTGACAACTTTCGGGCGCTGTTTAAGTTTCTCGTTCCCAGTCCATTACTGAGAAGGCTTGACTCCACGTAATATATAAAAAATGAGCGGGAGACCTTTATGGGCAGTTATAAAGCCCATTAAGATCGGACACTAATATTATATATTGCTTATCAAATTCAAACATAAGCTAAAACATATTTTGGCAAAAAAAATTCAAGAAAAAATCTTATTTTTAAAAGAAAATCGAAGTCGTATTCAATTCAGGTCAAATATCTTGCTGATATAGAGATTCGGTCACGGCAATGACTTTCCATGTGTTTACCTTATGAATTATTAATAAATTTGAAAACAAAGATGCTTACATTGTCAACAGCAATCATGCCTCCTTTTCGTACCAACACTAAGCACTTCTCATAGTATGCATCATAGCTTTCTTTATCAGCGTCGACAAAAGCAAAGTCAAACGTTCCTGCTTCTCCATTGGCAATCAGTTCATCTGCAAGAAAAACTCCACAGTCTAGATACTGTTCTTTTGCCATGAGCATAAATGTAAATAAATTTTATTTTTTGTTTTTTATTTTATTTTTCAGGGCTTCGGGAGGARGGAGAGAAAATGTCTAAATGAAGACAAATRGAAAAGTAGAATTGACCATCCATARATRTTTWTCKCTTTTTACTCCCATCATACATYGTTGCACAAAAAGCTTTCGTCGTTGCACTTGTGYCATACCATCATCATTATCGTGTTGTCCCACACGACCACGTTGCAGCCCCGGGGCAATCTTTCATGCCGCCTACGTACTCAATGATTACGTACATAATTTCATTCGTTGTTATGACTTTGACATGTTGCTTACAGGCTCTAGCTATAAGAGCTATAATATGCTTATATTGGATTTTTGTTCTTAAAAATTGGATGTATGTAGATTATTCAAACGCACACACAAAAAAAAACACAAAAAAATATGGTTTCAAATGATCCTTCGTTGCGACTGAACAGATTCAGGAAAGACAAAGCATATTTTATTTTTTTAGACAGTTCAATTCTATCACATTCCATAATCATAGGGGCGTAGTTTTACTTATTGATGCACTCTTTGGGCTACATACCAGAAGAAATGGTATGAAAGTGCTGTACCTATACTAGATACACCCTGAAACACATGACCAAAAAGAGCTATTAGGAGTTTTGTTACCCAGAGATTCAACAGCTGATTGAATACGAAGATCAATTTTATGTTCCACTCCTGCCTGCAAGATAAAACAATTACATTAATCCAATCTGATGTTATGGAAGACTTTGCACAGAGACCTTAACCGAACAACAACGAAACAACAAAATAGAAAGTACGAAAAAATGTTGACATTACAATAGCTCTAGATTCTCCGATTTGAGGCCAAGCCTGTATTCCCACAACAGCAGAGAGAATGCAAACTTGTGGATCTTTTTTATGCTGCGCAAGTGCAGAGTCTATTGTTTACCGCTAAACAGCGGTCACTGTTTTAGGCAGACTATTCATCTTTCTCTGTTCTAATTTTCTCTGATTTCTACTTTTCCTTTTTACAGAAGTCGCAAATTCTTCTATGATCAWACCGCTTTTATCAATTGCGGATATATTGCAATATCCACTCGGAAAATGGCAATAAAACACTAATTGTACACAGTTGACACGTATGCCATACTAGCTGTATCTGAATAAAAATATTTGCGGATAGAAAATCTCTTGACTAGTGGACATAAACTTATTTATGTAAATTGAAAAAATCGCGTTGTAAATTTGATGTAAATATGATTTAAGTGCCCAAAATTCTGTAAATTTAATGGAAATCATTTACATCAATTTACAGAATTGTGGACACTTACATCATATTTACATCAAATTTACAACCTTTAAAGCACGCGATTTTTTTCAGTGATCACCTATATAAATCAATAGACCTATTACGTACTTGTTATAATAATTGACAATACCTCTTTAAAGAATTGCTTTCCAACAGCATTCACATACTCATCAGTGATGTCACAACCAATAACCTTACCATCGKCTGGAATACTCAAAGCAAAGCTCAGGGTATTGTAACCAGTGTAAACACCTTAAAATGTATGCAAAAAAAGGATTACGAGAAGATTTATTTAAATATGTTAATGAAAATAAACTAAGGGAACTTTTCAAGTATTGGCTGTCAATGCAGCCGGAGCTGAGAACAGGGGCACCCTGGTTCCAAAGGTTTTCTCTTTTTTTTTTCTAGATGTTTTTTTTTTTATAGTTACGTCGTTATTTAAAAAGCAAATACAAAGATACGAGAACTACTAAAAACACTAAAAAAGTTATATATATACTCAGTTTTGTTTCTTCTACGTTGGTTTCAATTTTCCGAGCTTTCGGACAACTTGTCCATCATCGAGGTAAAATAAAATAATTAATGCATACGTGAGGATACAAGTGTAAACAAAACACCATAGTAACATAATAGTTCAATTCAATTA